ATGTATGTATGTGGGTGGGTGTGTCTACAGGAATCCCAGAAATAAAACTCTCTAATCTTCCAGGCTTGGCGATTTAGCAGCAAGAAAAATAAAAATGACGAATCCAATTCCAAGAGGGACCATGCTTGGTCACCCGCCCGGGAATGCTTCTGACGGAGCCTCGCCCTCCGGACCCAAAGTGCTCTGCGCAGTCTCCTCCTCCTTCATTTCAGGTTTCTGGATTAAGGACTGTTCTGTCGATGTGATGGTGTGTGGCGGCGGCGGCGTGGTGAGTCTCAGGCGTTCTGCACCCATCTTCCCTGGTGAGAGGTCTGCTTCCTGAAACCCCGAGGGAGGCTCCTTCCACCAGCCTGGCTCACCGCCTCGGCTTGTCACATCTAAGGGGACAACGGACAAAGGCTGAGGGTTAAGCCGGCAGCCGAGGCCTAGTCGTGAGGTGAGGAACCTCCCGAGTCGGGAATCCCGGGTCCCTGCCACCCCTATAGCACAGCAGGAGCAGAGGGTGGGGCGCTCGGTCCTGGGATGGAAACCCAGCCATGACCTCACGGAGCCCTCAGCGCGAGTAGCGTCCTAGGTGAGACCAGACACAACAGGGGGACACCTCACGAAGCAACAAATGGACACATGCCTGAGGTGACACTGCACAGCTAATGGGTGAGGGTGGAGGAAGTTAACGAGAAAAGGGTCCCTGCAGAGGAAGGGTTTTTGGTCTGTCTCCAGGGACCGGTTCACGAAGAGAGAAGCAGAGCCAGGGAGAATGGGCGGCCAGCAGACACAGGGCCTCCCTGGGAATGTGAGGTCCCCAAGGGAGGGGACCCAAGGGCCTGGGCTCCAGAAGGTGGCAGAACATCTCTCCTGAGCTAGCTGGCAGGCCGGGCCTCCACTGCCTGTCCTTTCCAAGCGTGTTCACACTAGGCCAGGAGAGGCAGGTCAGGACCTTGCTACTCTAGCCAGAGCAGAGGGGCCATCAGACATGTTCTCATGCCCTGGCCACCAGCTGATGGCCTTTTACCCTAATGTGTGGGGTCTAACCCTAGGCTGGGGAGCTGGAATCCCGGAACGGCAAGGTCTCTAAAGTCGGTGACCCAACACACCCTGTCTTACAATAACCACCACATGGTGCCAGGGATTTAGCTCAGTGGTGCCACTGCCTGCCTCGCAAGCACAAGGACCTGAGTTTGATTCTTGGTACCAAAAAAACACACAAAAACCCTAAAGTGCCAAGTCCCTTGTCTCTCCTGGGACACCTGAGGAGCGGAGGACCCCCCAAAGTGAGGCAGAGTCTGAGCCCCAGCAAAAGTGCACACTTCCTGCCCCCACACAGCTCCAAGACAGACAGATCCCACAGCAAAACACAGCCTAGTCCCCACATCCCCTTAACACCCACAAGTCACAAAAACATAGGCTGGGGGCAGGGGAGCAGATCCAGAAACCTCTGGATTGGCTGGCATGTGCAGTCCCACCTGGGCCACCCCATAAAAGCTTCCTCCCTAGGTGAGGCTCCCTTGCTCCCAGCAAGGCCACAGTGGCACTAGGAATGCCACCATCACAGCCCTCACCTAAACAGTGTTCACAAATGCACTTGGCACCTCCCTAGTCCACATACAGACAAAGGACAGAGGTACAGACACTTATGGGTCCCAAGTAAGCAAGCCAGGTCTGGGCATCGGAGTCCTTAGTCTAACGCTGGGCCCCCTGTCCCCATCCTGGGGTGCCTGGAAACATGCAGGCTGTCAGGGTTGTCACCAGGGTTAGGACAGGATGGGGCATCTAGGGTTCTTGATAAAACATGCTTCCTGTGTGTAGAACTGTCCATCCTGAACCTAAGACAAACTTGTGCTCAGGAGCCCTAGTCTGGGGGCGCGGGGTCCTCCGTCCCTGCCCACAGGGAACCCCGGAGCAGAGATGCGGGCTGTACAGACAGCAGAGAGCAGCATGAAAACAGGGACAGCCCACACTTACAGACATCAGCAAGGGCTATTTCTCAGTATCAGAACAGATGAAAATCAGAACATCAGCACCAACAGCCACCACCAGCAACAGGACCACAGGACACAACACACAGCTTGCGTCCATACATGAAGTCACACCACATAAACCTAACCAGCCTCCCCACGCAGGCAGCCAGGGTGACCTCGGGGCAGGCCCACCAGGCCAGCCAGCCCCAACATCCCTGTGGAGCCTGGCAAGCAGAGAAGGGGGCAGTGGCCAGGCAGGCAGAAGAAGCCGGGCAAGCAACTGGCAGACGCACGCACACGTGCACGCGCGATCTCTCTCCCTCCAGCGCCCTTCTCTGACTCACTGCCCACCCTCTGGGGACCAACCTGCAGGTACGTTCGTTTAACTCAAGCTGCCTCGCCTTGCAACGCGAGTGTGTGTTTCTGCAGGAGCATTTACACGTCTGCGGATCTTGTACAAACAAATGCTTTCTCCGCTCTGAGCAAGGCCCACAGGGACTGCAAAAAGGCAAAAGGAAAGACATCTAAGCTAGAGCATCAGCAGAGAGAGAGAAAAACCCATGCAATACCCCTGACAAATGGCAGCGGCCCCCCAGCTAGCACATGGCCGCCACATCCTTCCACACCCTGGAAGGAGTAGAGCGCAGCAAAAGACAGAGAGCAAGGAGAGAGGCGGCACTGGCTAGGATGCCTGCCCGGGAAGGGCAGGGCGCAAGTGGACAGAGCACGCAGGGAGAAGGCAGCCATGCGGGGCGCATCTCAGGCCACAGGGCCCCAACTGCTGCCGTCCCCAAAGGGGCACACCTTGATTCTTCTGCCTCTGTTGGGGGCAGCAATCGAGGGCCAAAACATCACCCGGGGCACCTTCATCCCAGCCGAGGCTTGTGCTCCGGCCCCCCAGCAAAGGCAGGCAACCCAGGGCAGGGTGAGAGGCCCAGCCAGAGACCCCGTGCACTCCCATAACGGGACCACAGGGACACGCTAGAGAGACTCCAGTGAGGTTTGAGCTCCAATGAGGTTCCCCTCCAAAGGCCCCAATTCCAGGAGGAGCCAAGGCATTTCTACCAGGTGAGAAGGGGCCACGGCACTGGGCTTGAGGCACCCAAGCCCCTCCTTCAGCCCACAACAAGCCACCTCCTGCCATGGCGCCCCTTCCTCTCAGTGTCCCCGCCCCACTCACTCAGCTTCCAAACACATGCAGAAGCCCAGTGGGGGAAACCATCTGGGTGCGCAGACCCACTGCCACCAGCACCCAGTGGGTGAGAGAAAGCCTGTGTGTGCCCAGCCAAGCTAGAGTCCCCTCCCCGAATCCTCAGGCCCACGCGGCCCACCCATCTACCCCAACCCCAGGCCCACAACACCACCACCAGTTTACCCATCAGTGCTCATTAGTGTGGTGTGAGAGAGAGAGAGAGAGAGAGAGAGAGAGACAGACACTGGGCAAGGAGGGTGGAGGAACCAGGAAGGGGCTGAGGGAGGGACTTAGGGAAATCAGAAAGGAATTAGCAGCGGCCCCAATGCACACGCCTTGGGATTTATACCGGGATTTCTTGCGCTTTCGTTTTTGCCCCTTCCCCTTTCCTCGAACTGATTTTCTGGAAAATAAAAAGAGACAGACAGAGAGAGCTCGAGACTGGGAGAAGGGCCAGGAAGTGGGGACAATGGAAACAAAGCCTGACTGAAGACACGGGTGGTACCCCAAGTCCACCTTCTCCTCACTTGGCCACTGTGCGGGGGCATATGGCCCACAGCAAGGCCTGGAGTAGAAGGGAGACCGGGGAGGCCCAGGGGCTCCATCTCCTCTCACACCCACTCCCAGCAATCCTATCCCGGTCGGACCCTGAAGATCAAGGCCTACAAAAGGATGGAGAACAGGTGGGAGGTACGTTTCCAAGTGCAACAGAACGGGGTGCCTCCAGAGGAAGAGCCACCTTGGAAGCTGGCCTCAAATCCCCCCAAGGGGGTGGGGGGCTAGGCTCCTCTCACTGGATAGGGGGAGTGGGGACAAGGGACCACAGAGCTGGGAGCTGGCAGTGCTTGGCAGGGAACCTGCACCATCTCTGCAGATCTCCGAACCAGGTGAGCTCTGCTCTCCCCATGGGCAAAGCAGGCATTGGAGGAATGAGCTAGGGGACAGGCTCAAGGAACCAGAACTCTCCAGGAAAACACACCTCGGAGCATGTCTGCCTGCTCAGGGGAAGAAGACAGGGGGACCAGGGATAGGACAGCATGCTGGAAGGACAGAGGAGGTTTCTCTGTGTCTGTCTCTCTCTCTCTCTCTACCTGTCCTCCTACATCACTGCTCTGGAAGTCACAGCAATCCTGGAAGCTGGGAGTGCAGGAAGAAGCAGAGGCTGAAGCATGTGGATTTCGAGTTCCAGAATGGCAGGGCAGACAGGTCAGGGAAGTTAGGGCACAGTGCTCTCTCTCTCAGTCTTTCTTTCCCTGCACCTGGCCCCCATCAATGCCGGCGACCCACCAGTGCTGGAGGCCAGTGCTCCCAGAACGGTTCCCCATGCCATCCTGCCTCACAATAAGCAGAGAAACCCTCAAAATGGCCAACATGCCACCCTCTTCACCCCTCCTGGTCAAAAGGGCCATGCCTGCTGCCTGCCCCATGCCCCACAGGAGGGCACATACCAAGAACCCCTGAACTGAGCCACTAAAGTCGCCCCCCAAAGAGGCCACTTCCTCTGACACACAAAAACTGGCCTTTCTGCCATCCACTCCTTCTGCCCGCTGCAGGTCCCCTACAGCAGCCAGTATCACACTGTCCCCTGAAACAACAAGGGCGGCCAGGAGTGCCCTGCAGACCTGGAGGCATCCACCCTTCCAGAAAGCACATCAGGCTCCAGACATGGTTGTCCCACTACCCGACAGCAGGTAAGCCCAGAGCTGGCTACAACCCACGGCTTCCACCACACATCCCTGGGAGACCAACACCCTGACTCTAGAAGGCCATCAGAGCCGCTGAGACAGAAGGCCAAGGCCCTGAACCAGGAGGACAGCCAAGGAGAGGAGAAGAGCTAAAGTCATAGCCACTTACTTTTCTTGCCTTGCTCTTTCTCTCTTTGGTCTACAATGGGTAGAGAAGGAGAAAAAAAAAAAACAAGGATTAAGATGGTGACAGCAACGACAGGAATACTACTACTAAAGGTGAATGAACATCTAACAGCATACGTGACACAGCGACACATTCTAACACTTTTACATGCTACAATAGCTCACCTAACCCGTCTATCAATGCTGAGGTACGCTCAGTCGTGCCCACTGAACAGATACAGGAACTGAAGCACACTAAAGACCCACAGTCACCAAGGTGGAAGATGACAATAGCACCTACCCCAGGCTGTCCTCACCTGCATTCGCATCTGCTGTGCTGGAGGAAACTCATCTCCCCAATGTGCTGCCCTTGGTGGGGTTTGATCCGCATGATCTGCAGGAAGGAAGCAGATCAGAGGTCAGTGACCCAGCCAGCCATACCCATATGGGACACCCAGGGCTCCTGTCACTCAGTGCCCAGGGGTTCTAAGAGCAGGGATGGGTGGTGGAGGCCGGGGACCAGGGCTCTGGCACAAGAGAGCCACAGGCCACCAGGCTCCCCCAGCCCTGCTGGCCTCAAGGAGCCCCTGCTCCTCCTGAGGGAGACACGGCGGCTAGGGTTGGCCAGGCTGGGAATTCGGGTCGTGGTTCTTACCATCCCCTCCCCTCCCCTCCTGTCACCCCCAGCTAGGTTCACCCTGACCCCTCCTCGAGAGCCGCCCACCCGTCTCAGAACTCCTTCCCACTCTCACCCTGTCTGGGCCACGATGCACCCTACACCTGTCACCAGACAGCACCCAAACCCTGGCTTTCGACTCTTCTCAGGCCAGGCCCCACTGGCTCTCCAGATATAGACCCCTCCACTCCCACCCCCACCAATGAGGCTCTAGGAGCTCTCCAGAAAGGAGGAGAAGGGCCTTTGTGTCAGGATCAAGCCCCTCCTGAACAGGGTGCAAAGGTCAGGGAGGAGGACGGGTGGCTGAGCTTGATGGTAAATGCAGGTATCTTCTTTGCAAAGCAGCTGAGACCCCACACACCTCCCCAGCCTAGCCCAGCTTGGGGCAGGGGCTCGGGCTGGGGAGGGCAAGTCGAGCTCCTCTTACCCAAAGTGTCCCAGGGAAAGGTCTGGTCCCCCGCTCCAAAGTCTAAGGCTCCTCCCTACGTCCCACCCCACCCCTACAGGGACCCACCTGCATGGTGATGTTGAACTCCTCAGTGGGCACACACTCCAGGCTCTCATCGTTACAGCAGCCCCCACACCGCATCAGGGGCACACAGGATGGCTTGAAGATGTACTCGATCTCATCCGGGTATTCCTGGAAGATGTCCACCAGAGTCTCGATCGGACGGCAGTAGCTACGCTTGTAGACATCCATGAACTTCACCACTACAGGGAGGGGATAAGACATGAGCCCAGGGCACGACAAAAAAGGCGGCCAGCCCCTATCTCCACAGAGCGCACTAGTTGTCAAGACCCAGGGGAAATGACCTGTCCCATCTGATCCCTGACTCACCACGACAGCTCAGTGAATTCAGTGAGTATGGGTGCACCTCTTGGGGGCATTCAAAGGTTCACATGCAGGGAGGGACAGACACCTCTGTCAGCCTGGTCCCTGTTTTCCTACGAGCTCCCCACAGCCTTAACACCCATCAGGCCAGCCACTATTTATTGAGTACTTACTACACCCAGCACTGTACAGTGGTACACAGGGGTCATCTCTCATAATCTCCCCCATGGCTGCTACCCAAAGGCACTGGGACCCCATTCTACAATGGGGGCTGGAGGTGCAGAGAGGCCCCACTGTTTCCAAGTAGCAGAGCTGGAAAGGGCTCTGATGCCTAAGCCTTCCCAAGCCTAGGACATGCACAGGACTCAGGCCCCCTTCCCAGACCAGGGCTGAGAAGGTATCAGCAGGTGGCAGTGGGCGGGCTCGAGGTGCAGGCCCTGCCAGCCACCAATAAGCCCGCCCAAGAGGGCAAACCACCTGCATCATGGAAAAAACAGTGCTGCCACAAAGCACTTCTAGAAGCTGATCTGGAGGGAGACCAGGGAGAAGACAGTTTCCCAGGCTGATCCCAGTGCCTGAGGTGCACTGGAGCATGAAGGGGTAATTCTGGGCCACTGGGGCGGGGCCCTGAGAATAAATACACGTAGGACGTCTGCGACTCATGGCCCAGCCCGCCACTCCCCAGCACACCCCACCACTACCCCCACTCCGTGCCAGCCTGTCCCTGACTTGAATGAGTCCTACAACATGGGACAGAAGAAATGACCTGATCAGCAGGGAGGCCCAGGCTCCAGCCACGACTCTGTGCAACCCTGGGCCAGTCCCATCCCTCTGCAGGCCTCTGCTCATCTGAGTGAGTGGACTGGACTGATCTTTAAACAAGACACGGGAACAGAGGCCGAAACGTGGAGGTTTCTCTCCCGTTTCCAGACCTGAGAACAACTGGTCTTTTCTCATTCTGAGTGACACAGTGAAACTCCACCAGGGCATCTCAAGCGCCCGCCCACAGACTAATGCCCCCACTCACATGCCCCGCGCTCTGCTTCCCAAAGGGGAAGGGAGATGAGACCCAGGGGTGCACGGGCAACAGGCGGGATGGGGACAACCTAGAGAGTCGAGGAGAAAGTGCTGAGAACAGAAAGGAGAACGGGAGGAGGGGCCCAGGCCAGACCCCCACTTACCCAAGAGCACTACTTCAATACAGCTAATGGGCACAAAATGGTTCCCTAACCGCAACGTTAAGGTAAAGCATGATCAAAAAAGAATAACTGGACCGGAGATTGGAAAAAAACCTTTTTTTGAGAAGGGGTCTCGCTGTGTAGTTGAGACTGACCTGGAACTCACTATGTAGCCCAGGTTGGTCTCATACTCACAGTGATCCTCCTGCCTCAGCCTCCTGAGTGCTGGGATTACAAGCGTGCGCCACCACACCCGGCTCATGGAAAAAAAACATTTTTAAAAGCCAAGTGTATACTGAACAAGATGACTGATCCAGAATTTTTGAACTGATGCCTTGCTGTGACTGGGACAGAGGTGGCCCAGGGTTGGGTCTCCACCCAAGAAGGGACAGCAGAGACCTCACCTGAGTGACAGGACAAAAGGGACAAAACTCACAGAATCTGCAAGGCCAGATGGGGAGGGGGCGACCCACCAGAACCCTGCACAGCCCGGCCTGAGAGGACACCGTCCTGCTGTGCACAAGGCATTTGGGCACACACTCCAACACCAGCCTTCCGTGGTTTTCCTTTTTTATGGCAGACAGGCTTTTCTCCAGCAAACAAAGACCATTTGTCTTGCCTCTCCCAGACCACAGAGACCACTGGGAGCAGGGGCCCCGTCAGTGGCACTGGCCAGGGAGTGGCAGCAGGCCAGGCCCTGGGCCAAAGTGAGGGCTCCTGGGGTGGGGAAGTAGGCAGAACCAGCCAGTTACTTTGGGCAGGATTTGGGTCAGGGAAACTGGGCCTGACAAAGACACACACCCCCCAGGGCAGCTCCCTCCTCAGAGAAGAGGAACAGGGAGAGTTGGCCTGGGGCTGGAGCAGAGGCCACACTCAGTAGTGGGCAGAGCTAGGGTGTCCCCAGAGAAATGGGAGGATCCCCCATGCTCCAAACCACAGCGGAACAAAAGGCAGGCGACTCAGGGTTGGGCAGGGGGTGGGGCGCCTGGGAGCTACAGCCAGCCCTCTGCTGGCCTGGGAGGGAAGTTCACAGCACCCAAAGCCAACCACCAGGGCTTTCTCCACCCCCAAAGGGACTCTCACTGCCCGGGAGGTGGGAGTTCCCATTAGCGGCACTGAACATTTTTCCTCCCCTGGGAACAGGGGTACAAGGGACATTTGCCTTCCCACCTGGAGTCCCTGAACACTGCCTATCTAAGCTCACAACTCCAGATTCAAATAAAATGTTACTAGAAACAGAAGGAAAAAAAGCAACAAGTCCTATTTCTACCAGAGACTGCAGCAGAGACTGCAACAGAGACAAGACTTCAGGAAACAGAAGGGTTAAGCTCACGATGCCCACCCCTCTTTCTGACTTGAACCTCATCTTCCTGTACCCCTCCCCCCACGGGTCTGCAAAGGAGAAATTGGGCCCTGGGGTGACAGGGGATCCTATCCAAGAACCAGGGACTCACCTTCGCGAGGATTCTGCTCTCCTTCCACCATGGGTGCCGCCTGGGACCACTAGGGACAAAACAAAGAGCAAGGCGTTGGCATGGCATGGGCATGGGCATCGGCGTGGGCAGGGACGCAAAGCTCAGCTACTGCCCCTCCTTCCTCAGTGCTGCCCTCTCAGCTATAGTCTCTGCCTTCTCCAAGATACTTGAGTGGAATGGGGACCCAGCGAGGGGTCCCCGCAGGCTTCAAGCATGCCCACCATCCAGACTGCTCCAACCCTGAACCCACAGACGTTAAAGACTAACCAGACATGGGGGAGCTCACAATGCAGGAGGCAAACACCAGAAGGCTGCACTGTCCGGAACCCTGTCCCCTCCCCACATTGCTCTCTCCTCATTCTCACTGGCCCCCTGGGTCGCCGGTCCAAAGCCGTGGGTAAGTATTAAGGTCACATAGGAGAATAAATTTGGACTGGGGCAGGAAGGAAGGACTAGGGGCAAGAAAAACAACATGGTGACCTTCTCCTGCTGACATGACAAATACCAGGGTGAGCTGGGGGGGTGCAGAGGACCGAAGGGCGCCGGCCACCCTCCCCCAGCAGTGCTCTTCCATCCCAAGAATGCTCAGTGTCCCTACAGGGTGTTTAGAGGCTGGAGAGCCCGGAGGAGCCTCCCTAGCCGGAGTGTGTTTCCACAGCCTCCCTAGCCTCCCACTCCTACCTTGTCCCCTCTCCCCTCTCCCCTGGGCACCTTCCCTAAATGCAACCAGGGAAGCCTTTCCTTCCACAGAATGCCCAGCCCCCCCGGGGGGCTCCCCACCCCTCCCCAGAAGCCCTGAAGGTCAAGGAGCCCGTCCTGCGGACCTGCTTCCAGCCCTTCCTGAAGGTCCCAGTTCCCCTCACCCCCCACCCCCACCTGCTCCTCTGGATGGAGCTCCAGACACCCTGGGAGAGGGCTCACTAGGCCCGCCTCTCCCCTTCCCACTCACGCTCTGCACCCCAGGACAGGGCCCCAGCCTTGCCCTGGGGGCCACGGTCGGAGGAAGCCCCTCCAGGGAAGATGGCCTTTCCCAGGCTCCCAGCTGGACAGCCCCCCATGGCTGCCCTCAGAGATCCCTGGTTCTGCACCCCAGCCCTCACCTAACCCCACAACATCCCCAACGTTCTCCCTATCCCCCCCGTCACTTCAACGAGGAAGGAGTGCAGAAACTTCAGGCCCCTCCAGGGCCAGGGGGCACAGGAAAGGCAGCGTTGAGCAGGGAGGGGCCAGGTGTCCTTCTCTGGGGGCCTCTGAAGGTCACACTGTGACCAGGCAGCCACTCCTCCCCCTCCTCCCCACTTGGAGGCCTGGAGCCAAGGCCTTTGTGCCAGGGTCTGAGGAACCCTGGATGGTGGCAGGGACCCCTGCCCACCCTTCTTTCTTCCTCCTCTCCAAGGAGACTCTGGCTTAAGGAAGCTGAAAGGAAACGCTGAAGAAGACCCCTAAGGTGGCTTTGAGAAGCAAGTTGGTGAGCAAGTTTGTAGTTCCAAAAAACCACCTGCTCCAACGACGGGTTTTGCTAGGACAAAGTGTGCGTGCACAGCTAGGGGACGCGGGGCAAAGGCACAGGAGGATGAGTCCATGCTGCCTGGGTCACAGCAGGTTCCTCTAACACCAAAAGGGTAAAGTGGGCGATGCCAGTCTTGGAGCCTCCCTTTGCCCACCCCCATAAAAGCGTCAGCACAGCTCACTCGAACTGCTGGGTAGGGGAAGGCACAGGTCGCCAAGACAGGACTTCGGATAGTTAGCACAAAGCACGGGATGGGCTCTGGAACCCCCAACTTCTGACAGTTACCATCCTTTCCCGGACTCCCGGGCCAGAGAGGTCAGACGGGTCTCTCAGAACCGAGGAGCGAAAGCTACCAGGGTGGCAAGGCTTTCCTCCCCGCGAAGGAGAAAATGGGGAAAGGAGGAAGGGGCTCAGCAGGTTCCTGCCAGCACAGGGCAGCAGCCGGGTCTGGGGATGACAGAGAGGGCAGAGATGGCTCCCCAGATCCAAGTCTGGGGCTCCTTCGAGAGGTCACCTTCCTGCGG